CTTCCCTGCAGACAGATGTCAAATTCAAAGTTGAGGATCTACCCTTTGATGGCAAAGGACTTTTTCATTCCACTACGGATGAGGCTCTGAAAGCTCTCAATGATAGCAGGAAAAAAGCTCGAAACCTTGGAGTTTCTACTTCGACGCCAAGGCCTCAATACCATTCCTGGAGTCCTTACTACAATAAATGTCAGCTATCGCTTGCTACTACCTCGCAGTGGAGGAAGAAATCATATGACTCATCTCAGTGGCCACGACAACAAACCCTCAAGAAGCCCCAGCAGCCCCAGCAGTCTGTTTGACCACCTTGAAGGCCTACCACCACCTCCTTCATTCAGCCCTCCTGTTCGGACCCGATTCTTCCCCTTTCTTCCAACTTGGGAAGAAATTACCACCAACTCCTTGGACCTTACCATCGTACAGGTCGGGTACGCCATAGAGTTCGCTTTCCCCCCGACCCTTCCTCAGTTTGTCATCACACACCCAAATCCATCGCTTCACCTAGAGGTAGATGCGCTTCTCCGCAAGGGGGCCATCGAGATCGTCCTGGAGGCGCAACGAACTCTCGGCTTCTACTCCAAGTACTTCCTAGTCCCCAAACAAGACGGCAGATTGTGGCCCATCATGGATCTTTGAGATCTCAACGAGTTTGTCCACTGCCAGAAGTTTCGAATGGTCACTTTACAGTCCATTCTCCCTCTCCTTCCCCAGTCTGGGTGGCTGGTGTCGATAGATCTTCAAGACGCCTATTTTCATGTTACCATTCGCCCTCAACATTGGAAATTCTTATGCTTTGCTGTCGGAGGCAATCATTACCAATACCGGGTCTTCAGAAAAATGATGGCCGTCGTCGCTGCCGAGCTGGACCGCCAACGGATTGTCCTTTACCCCTATATCGATGACTGGCTTCTCGTGGCTCCTATGGAGACTCAGCTTCTCCACATCATCCACTCTACTCCGACCCTTCTCCGCACCTTAGATCTCTGTGTCCTTCTGTCAAAGTCTGCACTCCAACCTGTTCAGGTTCTCCGATTCGTAGGGGCCCGCCTTGATACCACCACTGATACCACCTTCCTGCTGGATTCCAGGGCTTTGAACATAATTACGCTGGCGTCCACCTTCACCACATGTCCCCAGCAATCGGCTCGGTCGGTCATGAGGTTCCTGGGCTACTTCACATCCACTGTTTTTGTCGTACAGAATGCCAGGCTCAGAATGTGCCCCCTTCAGCTCTGGTTCCTCCGTATTTTCGATCCTCAATCGAGTCCGTGGCACACGAAGCTCTCTATCCCGACGCACGTCCTCACCTCCCTGTCGTGGTGGTCTCTTCTGCAACATCTCCTTGCCAGTATGCCCTTTTGACATCCGACTCCAGAGATTTCCTTAACCACCGATGCATCCCTTTGGGGTTGGGGAGCCCAATGCGGGATGCTATCTGCCAAGGGAACTTGGTCCCCTTGAGAGAGATCTCTCCACATCAACCTCCTGGAGCTTTGAGCGGCATATCTCGCCTTACGGTCCTTCCTCCCGATCATACAAGGCAAGGTTGTCCATGTTGCCTCCGACAACATCACGGCTGCTTTTTACATCAACAGGCAGGGCGGTTGTGGGGAGGGGAAGGGAAAGGAGTTTGTAAGCCGCTCTGAGACACCTTTGGGTAGTGAAGAGCAGGGTATAAATCCAATCTTTTCTTCTTCTCTTCACCTCTGCACAGCAGCGATCCGCCTTTGGAATTGGTGTCTTCATCATTCCATCATACTGTCCGCTGTCCACAGCCTTGGCGTGCAGAATGTAGATGCTGATCTTCTGATCCGCTCGGTCCCACAAAACAATGAATGGTCCCTCCATCCCCGATATCTACAACCAATTTTCCTCGAGTTTGGTTGCCCGACTGTTGACGGCTTTGCCACCTTGCAGAATGCCCACTGTCGCCTCTTCTTCACCCGCAGTCTGCCAACCGCCCGGTCTCTGGGAGATGTGTTCCTTCACAAATGGACGGGGACCCTGTTTTATTTCTTCCCCCCGTTTCCTCTCATCTCCAGGGTGCTTCAAAAAATTGTGGCTGATGCCACCTCCTGCATCCTCATCACCCCTCGGTGGCTACGCCAAGTGTGGTTCCCACACCTCCTCCGGCTCTCCAACGGTCGGTTCCATCATCTCCCTTGTGTGCCAGATCTTCTGTCTGGGGATCGAGGCCGGATCCTCCACCACTACCCAACCACTACCCAACCTTCTTCAAGCTGACGGTGTGGAAGATTCTTCAGTAGACTTCCCACCTGAAGTCTCGAAGTATTGCTTAATGCAAGGAAACTGACGACCCGCAATACCTATCGTCTGAAGTGGCTCAGGTTCCAATCTCACGCCTTGCAACGCTCCTTCGATCCAACCCACACTTCTCTGTGGAAGATTTTCTCCTACATCGTGTCCTTGAAGGACTCAGGCCTTGCATACTCTTCTCTAAGAGTCCACCTGGCTGCCATTTTGGCATATCACCCCTTAATACAGGGTTCTACTGTCTTTTCACACAGCCTGACAAAGTCTTCCCTTGAAGGGCTCCTTCGTCTCTGCCCGCCTTGAAAGCCGCTCGTGCCCTCCTGGAGTTTGTTTCTAGTTTTGACGCAACTCATGGCTAAGCCCTTTGAGCCAATGGCTTCTGTGGATCTTCGCCTCCTCTCGTGGAAGATGGCATTTTTAATTGCTATTACTACGGCTCGCCAGGTAGGGGAACTTTCTGCCTTGCATGCAGATCCCCCATATACAATTTTCCACAAGGAAAAGGTAGTTCTCCGGCCAGATCCCTCTTTTCTCCCTAAAGTCGTTTCTGCCTTTCATCTCTCTCAGTCTTCTGTTTTACCCACTTTCTTTCTGAACCCGACTGACGCACCTCAGAGAGCCTTGCATTGCCTCGATGTCCGGAGGGCGCTCTGCTTTTATCTCCATAGAACAAAGCCTTTTCGAAAGTCTCCCAAGGCTTTTTGTTGCCTATGACTCTTTGTCCAAGGGTGAACCAGTCTCCTCTCAAACACTGTCCAAATGGTTACCTCCACCACAGCCCTTTGCTATGAGTTGGCAAACCAACCTGTACCCACTTCTATCACTGCTTACTTGACAAGAGCAGTTTCGACTTCTATGGCCTTCCTCACCGGTGTCCCATTGGAAGACGTCTGTGCTGCAGCTACGTGGTCTTTGACATCGACCTTCGTGTCCCACTATGCACTCGATGTTTGAGCTCGACGGGATGCTGCATTTGGCCAGGCGGTGCTCCGATCTCTCTTCGCCTGATGCTTCTGCTTCCTCAGGTAGGACCTATAAATTGAAATCATACTGCTATGTCCTAACCTGTTTATTGTCTCTTGCAGCTGCCAGCTCCCTCCTCCACCTGGTTCAGCTCTTCTAGTCACCCATGTGTGGGACTGCACAGAGACCATGATGAAGATAAACAGGTTGCTTGCCTGTAACTGATGATCTTCGAGTGGTCATCTGTGCAGTACCACAGTCCCACCCAGCCTTCCCCACTTACCTTGAGTTGATGGGACTTACCTGTAGCGGTCGAAGGAACTGAGTGGGAGGCAGCTCTCTCCCCCGCTCCAGGCATGCGCAGTGCGTGTCTGCTCACCAGGGCGAGAAAAGAGCTTGCCAAAAAAACTACTGAGGCAAGCTCTGGAATGTTCTCTGGTCGAGGTCGTGCGCAGGTGCCCAACCCATGTGTGGTACTGCACGGATGACCACTCGATCATCAGTTACAGGTGAGCAACCTGTTTATCTTCGAGTGGTCATCTGTGCATTCACACCGCCCTTCCTTCCTTCCCCACTGCTGTCAGTTCTCTATCTTTTGTTGTACAGCGATCAGAAGGAACTGGCGGGATGTCCGTGCCCCACCCCACTGGACATGTGTGGTAGGGTTCCCGCGCAGGCCCAGGGTGGAGGTGCAAAAATTCTGATGTGAGCTTTGTACGCCACCAATCGGATCAGCGCAGGCGCACTGGATCCCATGGGTGTGAATGCACAGATGACCAGTTGAAGATAATCAGTTACAGGTAAACAACCTGTTTTTCCCATCCATCCATCCATCCATAAGTCATTTCCAGAAGCCAACCTAGGGTGATGTGAACTTCTCCAAACCCGGGTCAGCTTCCTAGGAAGGAGGATATTATTTCTAACTCAGCCAGTGGCCAGTCTCTGGAGCTTGACAGGCACAATGTGTTGCAGTTGTTGTCAATGACAATGCAGTGGGAAGCAATTCTCATATTGGGCAGTAGTAATAGTACAATTAGAGTTGCACTGTAATGGTGCTGATAGTGATTAATCATTTCTGTAATACTTCAGCATTGGAAAGGTCTCCACCATCCTTTTCCAAATTAATCAGTGTTCAGAGATCCAGAGAGTGACAGAAGTGATGAATTAATCAGGATTTGAACTCAAGCTTAGTGCAAGTCTGAGACAGTCTCTACCAGACTACATCAGCTGTTGCCATTATTGTTGGGGGGTTTTTTGTCTTATCAGCACTAATCTACTGTGGAGGGAGCCTTTAATAAACATTTAAAAGCATGCATCCAGCCCACCTTGCTCCACAGCTGAGAGGCAAATGCACAGAAGGGAGACATGGTGATTTAAGAGTTGTGGACAAATCTGCCCTCATTGTATATGGTCTTGTGGCTAGAGGGCTGGATTGGAACAGAGAAGACCAGATTCAGATCCCTGGTTGTCATAAAACATGCCAAGTGACCTTGGGGATAAAGGGAGAACACGTACACTGTCCTGGGATCCTTGGAGAAAGGGCAGGATAAAAATGTACTAAATAAATTGTGTCCCATTTTTCAAGTTGTAGGGGTTTATAGTATACTGTGTTGGAAGCTTGTTTTCCCTTGAAATGCTGTATTTTGCATTGCATTTTTCAATAATACGTATGCTTTAGATTTTGATTAAAAGCAATTGTCGCTTTATGTGAATGTTTAATAAAATACACTGTAGTAAAAAAACGCCCACTTCCTTTACTAAAGGGCCTTGGGAATTTTGGTAACAGACTATACCTTTGAAGACTGCCAGCTAGCTTTGGCTGAAGGGCAACTCCGTCTCCCTTCAAACACCTGTCTCTTAGAATTTGCGAAACTTGTGCGAAGCCTTGGGTGAGTAGGTTGATCAAATGTAAACATTTACAATTGCATTGTTTAAGAAAGCTTTGTAAATTTCTAACACATAATAATCTTTCAATTTCAATTTAAAATTAACTAAAATAGGTTGTAACAGAACACATCTTTAATAGTACTTCTTTCAAATTTGGGACTATTACAGTCATGTATACTAAAGTGGAGACAGAGTCTTTTTTATCATGTAGCTCGGCACACATTCAAAACGCTCGATCTCCGACGCTTGTCCCGGTCAGCGGCTCTAGATCCATATGGACACTCAGTGGCAGGACCGTCAGGGCAGAGGAGCGCCTCAATTCCCCAGCATCGTGCTGGTGAAGAGGTCACCCCTCAAAAGCCCCGTGGCTAGGAGCCTTATGCCAAGGCTCCGGGGGGTAGCGACCTGTCGCCCCCCCCCCTCCTTTCTGCTGGTGCGCAGATCACATCCCCGGGAGGTCTGGGAGATGCATCCGCCAGCGTGTCAGTCACTGAGTGTTCTGAGCCAAATGGCCCCCTCCTCACTTAGTCGTGTGACTCCGCAGTGTTCCTTGTTTACATTCTACTGGTCCCAGATCTTTCATTCCGTCACAGGCTGCTGAGCCAATTTCTCACAGCCGCTCCTCCAGAACCCTAATGGAACCTCTCACTTGTGCTTTCGCAGCTTATGGGGAAACCATTGAAGCTCATGGCTGCCTGCTCCCTTCGTCTCCTGACTGTGAAAATGGTATCCCTACTAGCCGTCACTTCAGCCAGGAGGACCAGTGAGTCACAAGCACTGCCGCATGACTCCCTCCCTCCTGGAAGTATTTAATTCTAGGGCGATCCTCTGCTTCTCACTCCAGTTCCTCCCCACGGTGACATCCAGATTCCACTGGATCCAAGATGTGACTCTGCTGGGGTTGTACCCACAACCTCATGATGACAGAATGCAGCCTCCACTTCATAGATGTTTCTAGCTCACTTCTCTTCTATCTAGATAGGACAGAACCTTTTAGGAAAGACAACAACCTTTTCATGTCCTTTGTGGGCTCTAACTTGGGGGTAAATTGTCAGCCCAATCCATCTCTAGATGGATAATCACATGTGTCAAACAGTGTTATGAATTAGACCGTCTGCTGGAGCTCCTTGCTCACTCCACTCAAGTGCAGTCTACATCTGCTGCTTTCTGCTGTGGTCTCTCCATCTGTCCCATCTGCAAGGCTGCAACATGGTCCTCCTGCACCTTTGCAAGACACCAGTTCATGGACATGGATGACATAGGAGAGGCAGCTGTCGGCAGAGCAGTACCACACCACAGTCTCTATTCAACCTTGAGCTCACACCTCTCTTCCTTAGAATTGTAAGCTGGCTCCCATGTGGGACTGCACAGGTACCAGAACGATGAAAATGGGGGTTGCACTTACCTGTAACGATTGTTCATCGAGTGGTCACATGTGCAGTCACACATCCCTCCCTCCTGCCCTGCTGTGAGCTCTTAACTAAACAGTGGTCTACCTCACTCTTGCGGCAGTAGATGGGAAATGGTGAACGGGCGCTGGGATTGCCCCCTCCTTATCACACAGAAAAAGGTGGGGAACAGTGTGTGGGAGGGAACAGAGCCTCTCTAGGCTCTTTGAGCTTTAAAGATACCTCTCTGCAACAGACCTGTACACACACAGTACCCATGTGTGATCGCACAGGTGACCACTTGATAGACAGCAGTTACCAGTAAGTGCAGCCCTATTGCATGTAGGGGAACAGTCGCTGGTCTTGACTAAAAAGATAATGAAGGATGTTTTTGCAGGTCAGAAATAGGGCTTGCCTCGGCTGTCAGCTAAATATGCAAAGTAAAGAATCCAGACACCCAGAATAAAACAGCCTTGGACAGGAGTAAAGAACAAAGGAGTAACAGACAAATATGACCTGTTGTAGATATCAAAAAGCATTAGGAGTGTTCCTACAGGAGTAAAGAACAAAGGAGTAACAGACAAATATGTTGTAGATATCATTAGATATATGTATCTGGGCTCAGGTGCAAGAAGCATCTATGCATCTCAGATATGTCCAACTAAATACAGAAGTGACGATGAGGTATATCAGTTGGGATACAACTAATCATACTTTTAAAAAATTATAATCACTATTTTTTATATTATTATTAAAATAGCAAGAATGCATTTTTCATTGTGGCTTCTGTGTAGGCACATATGGGACTGCACCGGCCAGCCATGGAGAAGAGGATCTAAAGTTTTCTAGACGATTCAAAAAGCATTAGGAGTGCTCCCCCTTCCCTCCGTCTCATGCTCAAATGGGCGCATGACGGAGGTAGAGAGAGTTCTCCTTCCTCAGTTCTCTCTTCAGTGCTGTGGGGAGAGGATGCATTCTGAAGCTTGCGTTGCCTCAGGATTTTTTCTTCAATCTGTCCACTTGTAAGCCTGAAATATAGCTCTCTTTAAAAAATAGGCTACCTCTCTTTAAGGAGTGCAGGACCAAAATGGCCCAGAATGACGAGCACAGCACGTATCTGCTCCATCTGGGGGAAGGACACAAAACTGCGGCTTGTGGCCCCAAGTCTGGCATGAAAGGGCCAGTAAAGTTAAGGCAGTGCTGTGGGGAAAGAGCCCCTGACACTCATTGCAAAAAGCACCTGGCTCATCCAGAGAAAGGCCTTGAACACCCTCAGAAGTGTCTGTGCCCTCCACACCGACATCAGATCCGGCAGATAAGGTGCCGTAAGCACAAAGGAGGCATCAGAACCGCCTCCCCAAAGAAAGAGAGAGGCAAAACATGCCACTTTAGTTTCCTGTTAGCACCAACAGTCACCTCGGTGTTAACAATCTCCACCACCTCAACATCAACAGTTGCCAGTGCCTCGATGCTGGGACTCCTCGCCTCCATGATGCAGAACTTTACCATCAAGGAATGGAGTAGAGCAAGTTCCTCACCCTCAGACTCCTATCACTGTCACCGAGATCTCCAGAGCCTCCTCGGTCCTCAAAGGATGACGTTTTTGAGGTGCCCCCACTGCCTGTACCGCTTGTGCAACAGGCACAGAATGTACCTGGTCATCAACCATCAACAACTGCAGTGGTTCCTCACACAGGACTACACATTGAGGCCATTCTAAAATTGGTTCAATTCGCAAATTTAAAATCAGCTCTGACCCTCAATGGCTTAGGTCATCTATTCCTCGATCCATCCCTAGCTCACTTACTTGGTGGTCCCAGGATCCCAGTCTTTTCAAGGACGAAGAGTTGGGTACACATCCACATGACACAGAGGTCTTCTCCGATGCCTCCCTGTGAGGCTGGGGGGTGCATTGGGGTCACTTCTGTGTCAAGGGGGTGGTGGTCTGAGGTGGAATCTGGGTCACATATTAACCTACTGGAGATCCGGGTGATAAAGTAGGGCCCATATTCCTTTACACCATTCACATAGCAGGGCAATACAGTGTCACAGCGGATGCTCTAAGCAGGAAGGCAAGAGCAGACCATGAATGGTCTTTCAACAGCCTTTATTTACAATCCATTTCCAAGGAGTAGGGGCCACCCCTTTAAGGACCAACCTGAGTCTTACCCCCATCAGACATTTTTTAATATTTATTGTCTCTCAAAGATGCTGGTTTGTCAGTGTCATCTTTAAAAGTGCAGATGCCAGCCCTATCAACCTTTCACGTCACTGAGCCCCTCAGTCCGAGAGATACGTCAAAGGTCTGCTTAATTTATGCCCAGTTGTTTCCCCCCCCCCCAACACCGGTCTCCATAGCAGAACAAACTCTAGATGTCAGAAGGGCTCTCCTCTTTGATTTACAGCATATAAAAGTTTTATGAAAGACCAGAACTTATTTGTATACTTTGCTGGCCCTAGTAAAGGGGAAGCGGTGTTGTCTCAAAACCTGCCCAAATGGGTTGTTTCAGCAGTGAACTTGGTGCATACGGTGGTTGGTGTGGCTTTCCCCTTTCCAGTCAAAGCTCAATTCACCAAAGCTCAGCATCTTCAGTGACTTTTCTTGGCAAGGCCTGTCTAAATGACATCTGCAATGCTGCTTCCTGGTCGACCTCCATCCACGTTCATGAGATACGACATCAATATAAATTCCAGAAATGAGGCGGCTGTGGGGAGGGCAGTGCTGCAGTTGCTTTTTCGCTAATCAGTCTGCACCCACCTCCTTGGTAAGTGAGCTTGCTACTTTCCCATGTGGGACTGCGCAGAAGCCATAACGATGAAAACAGGGTCGCACTTACCTGTAACTGTTGCTCATCGAATGGTCTTCCGTGCAGGCACACATCCCTCCCTCTTTTCCCCGCTGTGGGCTGCTTGATCTGAGGGCCTATGTTCTCCATGGTGGCGGGGGGGGGGGCCTGAGGGACAAACACTGTCCCTGCCTCTGTTTGGGCGGGAAAACTCTGGTGCGAGACAGGGAATGGGAACTCTTTGAATCGTCTATAAAGCTTAGAGTACTCTTCGCCATGGCTGGTCTCTGTAGTCCCATGTGAGCCTGCACAGAAGATGAACAACAGTTGCAGGTAAGTGCAACCTATTTTTGCATATCCTTTTAAAGAGATAACTCTGTACGGTGTTTGAAGTTATCAGTCAAGAATGTGATCCCTGTCAGGTGTGACAGTGACCTATTGTTAGAGACTGTTTGGGAAACTTATATATAGGTGAATCTGCATTGGTACAGAGAGTCTTCTTTGAAGATGCTCCTAATCTTGTGAAACCTGCTTGCTTTGGGGCAAGATAAATGCTTAGGACTCACGTAGTCATTATCCTTTAATTATCTATGCAGAATCCATGAAAGGTACTATAATATTTGTTTGAATTAATGTTAATGGCTATGTGGAGTTTTTTTAAGATAAAATGTAAGCAAAAATGCTTTAGTGATACTTTTACTTGTGTTCTCCCTCTGAGGTGGAAGTCATCTTATGAGTGATTCCCACCATCCATTTAGGGAGGCAGGAACTAAATTCTTCCTCTTCTCCAGTGGTCCTAGGGTTGGGACAGTCTTCACTTTTGGGGAC